ACAAGACTGAAATGCAGTTGACAGGCTCTAAACTAGCTGTAACAGTCATCCTCAACAGTGACCAGAGTGGGACTGGATAGTGATGTTCAGTGATAGATAGTGAATGTATTAGTTCACTAGACTACACAAGCCTTAGTAAATACAGCTTTTACAAAATTGTTCATTTTAACCTGACATTGCATACCTTAACACAGTCACTAGAGGTATTTATATGAAGTTCTGGGCATGTATTTATGGAAAAGGGATTGGACACTATCAGTTACATTTGATGTAAAGTAGGAAGACTGATTCTGATTTTTCGTCAAGCAGTTACTTTAATCCTAGCATGGGATGTGCTGTAGAGTGATGCTTCACATGTACAAGGTCATAGGTTCAAACACCAGCATCTCCAAAGGTCATCTTTATCATCCTGTAAACTAGCCTTGGTGTTAGCCTCCATGGAGACTCTGGAGCCACTGCTGATGTTGGTCTGTAGGTCTGTCACTACCACTGGAGGTCCTTGAGTAAGACCCTTATATCCTGTCTCCATGGATAAAAGCATCAGCCTAATGAATACATGTAAATGGAAATTTAAACACTAGCAGGCTTCGGACACTTCTTTGTTATCCATGAAACACAGTTTGGAACCACGTCAAAGTCTTCAGGTCCAAAAGTTCAAACCCATCACTCACCTCAACTAAAAACACACTCTAAAACCACGCTGAAAAACCAGAGCCAGGGTGGTTGAGGTTAGTAACCGGCAGCTGTAGCATCCCAGTGGTAGCTGATGTCTATATCAGATTTGACACCAAAAAAAAAGTGGGACGGTAGAAGTTTTCTTTTTAAAAAACCCGTCCAGGGTATATGAGATCTAGGAAAAACATGCTAGCTGGAAAGTGGATCAAAGTTAATTAGATTCCTTTGAATCTCCTCATCATGAAATCAGACAGAAGTTCTTCCGACATTGCTCATGTCTTGTGCTCACACAGGCGTGTCCTGACACTCGCTCTGATATTAAAAGGAAAATGGCTTTCTGAAACACATTAAATATGTTAATAGGATATTTATGATGGGTTTAGCGATTGTGGTTTGAATTTGTTCGAGTTTTTATTCCTGTGAGAAGTTAGTGGTTGTGTCACTGTGGCGGTACCTTTAAGGGAACATCTTAATATCTTTAGTGTGTATCTTCTACCTGCAAACTTTAATTCGTTTTTAAATGTACACAACATTCACATGACTAAGTAAAAGATGCATATTACAGGTACTACAGATGTACCACATCAGTGATGAGCTTACGGTACAGTTTAGGCTCTAAAACCTCTTTCATTCCAGACACATGTGCACGAGCATTGCACGTGGCCCATAATTCTGCACAAGGACAAAAGTGTCTCTCTGAAAACTGATGTGTGGGGAAAAAAAGCGAGGAAGTGATGATCTGCACGTTTAAAGGTGGCACATTCCTACACGCGCGCGCGCACATTTTCCGGCATCAGTGTTTGTGCGTTCAGGATAACGGGAGAAAAAGACAAGACAAACCACGCGTGCCAAAGAAAGAAAGAAAGAAAGAAGGAAGCAAAGCCAGGAAAACGTCTTTGCACACGTGCGTCAATTTAATGCGGGAGCGCGCATCAATTAAACGCAGGAGCGCGCGCGCGCGCCAAAACAAAAAAGTCCCTGAGATGCAAAAGAACTGCACCACAATGCAACACGACTGTGCAGTCAAGACCTGAGAAGATAAATGAATAAACGCGTAAACTTGAAGACATAGAGAGAGAGAGAGAGAGAGAGAGATGCGACGCGTAAACAACACGAGAACGCGCAAAGCTCGTACATGCGTGTGTCCATTTAATATATATATATATATATATAGTAGCCTATTTAATATTGAGTTGAGCTTTGAAAGTACACTCTGCACATTTGCAGGTGAAAGATACATATTAAAGATGCAAAAGGTGTGCACTTGATGGTGCCAATCCAGCAACATGTGCCACATGGATGGCTCTTAAAACAGCCATCATGTCAACAAGAACCCTAAAGGTTCCCAGAGTGGAGCTGTTGTCAAAGTCCTAACCAAAGTCCTAAGTGGTGAGTTAACTTCTGCATGTATCCAGTGAGTTAAAGATGAAGATAGTTAGAGTTCCTTTGGGAAGCATTGCTTTGCAACAAGGTTTGGATGGAAGAACCCTTTAAATCTTATATCTTGCATATCTTTTTTTTTTTTTTTTCCAGATGAATCTTGCCTGTGCTCCACATGTGAGGTGTGTGTGTGTGTGTGTTTTAAATAACTACTATGCGTAATTGAATGGCATTGGTGGAAAAGCAGCATGCCGTTTCTGGATCGCGCGCACGTCACTCACCGGCGTTCCGAAGTTTCTTGTTCCGGTAGACGGAGAAAATCACCAACAGGTTGCCCAAAATATCCACCACGATGGTGAAGATGAGGAAGCAGCCGAGTGTTGTGGTGACCCACGGCGGTCTGTGGAGCGCGTGCTCTCCAGCGGTGGAGCCGTTCACCTGACTCCCGTTCAGAAGCATCGCGAGCCGCTCAACATCTGGCATTTCTCGCTCAACATCTGGCTCGCTGCGTGTCCACCTAACTGCCTGGGGGTGAAAAGTGAGAGTCCTCCAGTGCGCGTCTCTCCATGATGTGTGTGTGGGTGTGTGTGTGGGAATTATGTACTCCACCGTGACCGTGCGTAAAGTTTCTGTAACTCCAGCCAGTGCGCTCGTGCGCGAGGTTGCCAGATTCTCCCACCTTCCTGTCTCAACTTCTTCAGATTCTCCAGTCAAGAAAAATCCACATCCATGAAAAGCTCTCAATGTGGCAACACTACAGGGAGATGTGAGGGGCGGGACTTATTTTACAAACGGCGTGCGCGCGTGCCTGGGTGCGCCAATCACGTTGCAAGTGTGTATCTACCACAGAGCAGTGTGTAAGGTGCGAGTCCAAATGTGCACACACACACACACACACACACACACACCCCTCTACTTCCTGAATAATTATTCATTCATCTTCAGTAATCAGGGTCGCAGTGGACATGAGGCAGGAATATACACACACACACACACACACACACACACACTCATTCACACCTAGGGCGCAATTTAGTATCAAATCCACCACTGGCATGTGTTTAAGAAGTGGGAGGAAACCAGAGAACCTGGAGGAAACCCACTCACACATGATTATGTGAGAATAGTACAGTAAATTTTTTATACACTCCCAGACATAAAGGTACCAAACTGTACTTCTCCTGGTTGATAGGTTGGTAGTGTAATGTACCTTTTGCTTTTAGAGTAGTGAGTGGTCCTTAAGGTCCAATTATGCACCCATCCATCCATCCATCCATCCATCCATTCTCTGTACTGCTTATCCTACACAGGGTCGCAGGGAGCCTGGAGCCTATCCCAGAGGACTTGGTGCATACGAAAGGGGGGACACCCTAGATGGAGTTCCAACCCATCGCAGGGCACAATCACACACACACAAACACACTACAGACAATTTGGAAATGCCAATCAGCCTACAGTGCGTGTCTTTGGACTGGAGGAGGAAACTGGAATACCCGGAGAAAACCCCCCGAAGAAGTGGGAGAACACACACACAGGGTGGAGGCGGGATTCGAACCCTCAGCCCCGGAGGTGCAAGGCAAGCGGGCTAGCCACTAAGCCACCTCCCATTATTCACCTTAAATTATATTTCTAGGTAAAATACACATACTAAAGCTACAAAACATGTCACCCTGATGCTACCAATTCAACACCAAGGAAAAGTATGCTACAGTTTAGTACCTTTACGTCTGAGTGTTTTTAAAAGCTAATTAAAGGTACATGAGTGGACCATAAGGTGCAACTATGTTCTTTTAAATCATTTTAAAGGTACACTACATTCACATTACCATGTACATTATACATGCTACAGGTAGAGAAGATGTACCTTTAATGGTACCACCCCAGTGACAAGGAATGTTACAGTTCAGCTCTATTTAATTTTATATTTTATCCTATTTTTTATGTTGTTTTTTTCCTGTACCTGTCTAAGTCAATGCTGTATTTCAATTTAGTTCACTCAAGATGTTACCATATCCTCAAAGTCTAACTTAAAGCAAAATTCCTTTCTTTCCACCTTCTACACAGTGATTAGCCACTCTTTTAACAAAAGGGTGCAAGTGGCGACATCTGCTGGAAGAGAAGGGACATTACTACACGTTCATTCAGCAACATCAAGGGAGGAGTGGATATTTTTGAATAGTTGAATATACAAAAAAAATGAATTGAATAGTAAATGAGGTGTTTTGGGTATTTTTAATGGCAACTAAATTAGTAATGCTGGACATGACAGTAAAAAAAATACAGTTAAAATGCTTTATTTTATGTAGTTTTTTTTGGCATTTGGTGATTGGAGCATTTAAATATTATTCGAATAATGCTTTTAAAAAATCAAATAGTTGTTTTGACTGAACCTGAATTTGAAATAAAGTTAGTTATTATGGGACATTCTTTAAATGTTTTATTTTTATGTGCTTGCATTTACTTTTTAACACAAGTTCAGGCTTTTAAAAAGTCATCATTGATTTATTTGGACTTTCACATGTGTGATTTTTTTGTTATATACTTTCTACAATTGTCACTTATACTCTTATTATTCAAATAATGCCTCGAAATTTTTTAATTATTCTACTCATAAATAGAGCCATGTTAGTTATTATCTTTTAATTTTTTTTATTTTTTTTTTTTGTCTTTTTATTATATATTTGGCCACTCATGCTGTGAACACTGTAAAGTTCCCCTTCTTTACATTTAAATGAGTTTATAGCAGTATTGGCTTTAGATCAGTTAATGTACAGACACAGTTCTTCTTCCGGCTGCTCCCGTTAGGGGTCGCCACTGCAGATCGTTAGTCTGCATATTTTGATTTGGCACTGTTTTTACGCCGGATGCCCTTCCTGATGCAACCCTCCCCAATTTTATCCGGGCTTGGTACCAGCACTGGGAGTGCACTGTCCTGTTGGGGTCGGTTCCCTGTCCGGGAATCGGACCCAGTCCGCGGCGCTGATTAGTGCCGAGGCCTAACCACTAGTCCTCCAGGGACCCAATATATAGACACAGTACTTGGTTAAATCTATAACATACCATACCATACTAATCACTGTTTGAAGAAGGTAATCATCAAGATTTGAGTTATCACTAACATTAGCCGGTTAGCTTGTTGCTAATGCTACACACCACTAATGACCTAAAATACTAATGACCTCTTTTGAGTGACCAATGAAGTAAAAATATTGCTATTTGACAGATAGACCAAGTGCTAATTGGGGCAGGTATAACGTTGCCCCATGCAATGGACATTTTCACTGAAGGCGGAGCAACAGACAGGACCGTTAATGAAAGGGTTTCCAGGGCCGTGGTTTTTACATCAAGTTGGTCTACTACTCTGTGGCTGCCAAGAGCTTGTTTTATAGCAAATAATCAGAATTAAATCTAATAAATATTCACAAACAAAGGTAAAGTGTAAGCGCAGATAGTCTGCAATGTACAGAACCATTTCTGTTGGAAGATACTGTATATTGCAAAGATTGTCAGGTGAAAAGGAGGATGGAGGAGTGAATAATGTTCGTAATCAGAAATGCGTGCGCACCATGGTGACCTAGTTTCGTAGAAAAATTTTGAGAAAATGAAGAAAAATGAGTCTCCCTTTTACAATGCCTGAATTGTTTTGGCCTAGTTTCAGGTCATTGTGTGGTTTTTGAGATGTAGAGCTCTTCTGTGCGTGCCCTTAATTAACTCACTTTCTTCTATTTCGTATTTATTATTTATTTTATGTTCACCTAATGGACCTTTCTCTGTGCTTACAAGGGTATGAGTCCATCGTACTTGGATATATTTTCAGATATCAGAAATTGCAATATGGGTGATGAACAGTCATTGACAGGATGTTCAGGTTGTAGCTGGAATGTTAAATCTCTGAATCACAATGTTAAACGCAGGCAAGTATTTTCACACCTGAATCAACTCAATGTGGAGAACATCTTTCTTCAAGAAACCCACTTGCACACATGATCTTTTTTTTCATTTATTAAGAGGTAGGTTGGTATAACGTTCAAGTTATAACATTTAATGTTCAACAGCTATAATATTAAAGCTTCAGTGTCACTCTAAATCTAGAGGAACTGCAAATCTTATGAATAAGACTGTTCCATTTACTGCATCTAACACACCAGTCATTTTAGCCAATGTATATGCACTGAACTGTGATGATGGCACATTTAAATAAATTTCTTTGTAAACTCTGCATGTGTTGTAGTAATGGTGCAGTTTTGTTCTTCCTTTCTTCCTTTTTTCTCTTCTGTTAATTAACATTTGTAATTTAGATTCCTTTGGTTCACAGGTCTCTCTTTCTCTTGTAGCACTTCCCACTGGAGTTCACACAAAGGCCTCTGTGGCAGACTTTCCAGACCAGAAGACTTCCCTCTCGAACTGAGATCACACAACAAAAATGGACTAAAGTTTAATCTCAGAATTGTGCATAACTAAGACACATTTCTGTTTTCAGCAAACTCCACCCAGCACACGCAACTCCCATGCAGGACTTACGTCTGAGGTAGGACGTATCGATGTCGCAGTAACACAGGATGAACAGATAGTCCACAGCCTAACTAAAAAGACAACTGGAGCAACCACGGCAACAGCAGCAAGCATTTGTCATAGCATGATCTTGTGCTTCAACACTGGAGCACTAAGACAGCTAGGCATTTTGGGAGCTTGCATGCTGATGTGAGGTCACGTCCAGCAGCTGTTACAAAGGCACAGTGATAACAAAGGAACAGACGCCCCTCTGTTACAGAACTCAATACTGATCCAGTACAATTCACACAATCTAGACTATTACAGCATGCCTTAGCTCATATTAATTAGGTCTACTGAATCCCCGCTGTCTAATCTGGACTTTGTCTGGACATTTTGCCCAGACCCCAGATGGTAGCGCAGGCCATCGCAGCCAAAATCGATCAGTTTGACTTGCAAGGTATCAGTGTTGATGAGGGGAGTCTCAGTGACGAGCCGCCTGAACCACCTGCAGCATGATGTCTCGAGTCCGTGCTTTAGACAGGTGGCCTGATTGGCCACGTCAAACCACTCCAGTAGCTCCAGCACGTTGCTACAGCGAGGTGGCTTGGACACCATCTTCATTAGCACCACCTCTACAGGCAGCTCCTGCGTCTCTCCAGGCTGAAATTAGAGCAGACATGTGTTTGGTGCGAATACATCTAAAGGACACTAAGCAGAAATGGAAGAGGTTTAGGCTGGTACTGACGCTAGATCAGTAGCCTTCCTGTAATATCTATTATGAACAACAGGTAATAAAATGATTTCTGCACTGTAGCAGAAATTGTCGTGTTAGTCAGCATCCATCTATCAATTTTCTGTACCACTTATCCTACACAGGGTCACGGGGAGCCTGGAACCTCTCCCAGGGGGACTCGGGGCACGAGGCAGGGGACACCCTGGACGGGGTGCCAGCCCATTGCAGATGTTAGTCAGCATGATACTGGCAAAAACATTGCAAAATGACACAATCAGATACAGACAGATGCTGATGTGTGATATACTAACTTCTGATTCTTTCTTCCTAAGCAAGCTGTAGCCCTGGAACAGGAGTGTGGGGACTTCACACATCATCACTTCCTGTAAAAGAGGAGTGTGGGGACTTCACACATCATCACTTCCTGTAAAAGAGGAGTGTGGGGACTTCACACATCATCACTTCCTGTAAAAGAGGAGTGTGGGGACTTCACACATCATCACTGTTGAAGCCATTTTTGTTGTAGTTATATATTTGTCCATTGGGTGGCACTCTGGTATAGAATACCCATGGTATATCAGGGCAATTGGATAATGAGACAACAGGTGTGTGTATTGGTAGTGGGGAAGCACACAGTTTTTGACCGTTCCAGGTCGTGCTTCATTATGTTAAACAGGCTTTTTGGATTATGTGTTGGACCGTGTTGAACAGTATGCTGTATCTACAAGGTATGGAGTTTTGTGTGGACTGACACCACAGGAAGCTAATTGAAGCACAATAAAGAAAGAGACTATTTGCATCTTACATCTGTTTGCATAGACTCTAATTTTTACGCGTCAACTACTTGCTCACTCCTATTGCCAATACCAGCAGTTTAATGGAAAGCTGCTACAATCACTTCCTGTAAAAGAAATATCTGATGTGAAGTCCCCACACTCCTCTTCCAGGGCTACAGCTTGTTTACCTAATGCATTAGTTAGTACTGTATATTGCAAAGACATCACAAATGCAGCAAATGCAAGTGCACCACAGTGACTCTCTCTCTCTCTCTCTCTCTCTCTCTCTCTCTCTCTCTCTCTCTCTCTCTGTGAGAAAAGAGTCTGAAAAACACTATTACTGCTACTACTAACAGATCAAAACACTAGAAACTAAACCTTGGGCCCATTTTCCAAGGGCTATTTTAGACTAGTAAAAAATACTTCTGTAATTATATGTATTCAAAGATCAGACACTGCTGTAATGTATGAAATGTAGAATTAAAACTGTTTTAAATATTCGGAAAAAAAATTAGACCACTCTCAGAAATGAACTTCAAAACAACCAGGGAAAGTATAAAGGCCGCATTCATAGTCATTATACTTTAGGCTTCCTAGTGCACTAACTAGAGTGTAGAAGCCATTACTTTACACCCTAAAGAGTGTACTTGTGTAGGAAATATGGCGCCATTTGGGATTGAACCAGTGAGCGCGAGCACTCTTGGTCTTGGGCGCCATTTTGTTGCAGCGTATTTATTGTTGCGGGGGTAAGTGGAAAATAAAAGTTATAACACGTCAATATAAAGTTTGATTTTAACGTAGTGTCCAACTAGTATGATGTTGTTTTGCTTTTTATAACAGCAGCTGTAAAAAAAAATAAATAAAAAAAAGACGAAGACAAGACGAACCAAAATGGAGTCCGTTAGCAATGTAGCTCATAAACTGCGTTATATTTTAACCTGTTGTGTATATTTGATATTTGATATAAAGATGAAGATGTATATGATGTTTGTAGCTTTGTAAAATGCACGCTGCTTATATATAAATTGGTGTTAGTTTGTCGAGAATTTCAACTTTTCAGGTAGAAACAAAGTACGTATCTTTCAGGGTTGCCAGATTTTTCAGAAATCTCTAGTTATTAAGAGAGACAGTGAAAACCTGGATCCTTCACTGAAACAAACATTTTATGAAATTTTAACCATTTACCTGCTCTATTAGTTGTGTAATCTATTAGCTAACACTCAAGTTACTTTTTCCAGGTACAAAAATCCCCTCAATCTATACCATTTCTTTTTTGACGAGGACCTGGCAGTCCTGTATACAAAGTAAGTTTGACTTATGTCTTAATTGCTTTAGTTAAATTAAATATAAAAGTAATACCCTTTTAAGTTTCATAGATTCTCTTATATTTTCCATTTTTACGTGTTAAAAATGCAAACCCAAAATCAAAACTCAGCAATTCTAGATGGAGCTGATGTTTGTTGATGTAGTGTGTTTTCATGTCTAGTCATCATTTCCTTCATGCATTCATGTTTACTTCCGCTTTTCATGCTGGTGCTGTCAGGTCAGGATTTGCACATGATTTTCAGTTCAGTTCAGTTTTATTTGTATAGTGCTTTGAACAATAGACTCTGCCACAAAGCAGATTTCAGGAAATCCGGATGTAGTTTTAGAAGGCAACACCCTGAAACAACCTGAGGAAGAAACCTCGACTCGAAAGGGAACTATCCATTATCTTCTGGGTGACACCAGAAAGTGCGAGAGTATAAATCATTACAGTTGCAGGTGTAGAAGCGTAAGGACAAACAGCAGCAGTTTGTAGGTATATATTTACAGTAGCCAGGTGAGATTATCCAATTCAATTCAATTTTATTTGTATAGCACTTTCAACAATGGACATTGTCGCAAAGCAGCTTTACAGAAATAAATGGATTCAAAATATATTGTAAATACGTGAATTTATCCCTAATGAGCAAGCCAGAGGCGACGGTGGTGAGGAAAAACTCCCTGAGACAATATGAGGAAGAAACCTTGAG